AATTGAGATTTTGGTTGATGTCTTCAAATAAGACAGCCTAGTTGATCGGGTCGTGATCGGACTCCGTGCTAAAATTACGGTGGTATTGGTATTGATAATAATTGTGGTTGATTCTCTAATGATATAGACTAGCCGATCGGGTCGTGATCGGACTTCGTGCTAAAATTACGGTGGTATTGGTATTGATTGTAATTGTGGTTGATTCTCTAATGAGATAGCCTATCCGATCGGGTCATGATTGGACTCCGCGCTAAAATTACGGTGGTATTGGTATTGATTGTAATTGTGGTTGATTCTCTAATGAGATAGCCTATCCGATCGGGTCATGATTGGACTCCGCGCTAAAATTACGGTGGTATTGGTATTGATAGTAATTGTGGTTGATTCTCTAATGAGATAGCCTAGCCGATCGGGTTGTGATCGGACTCCGTGCTAAAAGTACGGTGGCATTAGTATTGTGAACATTAGTATTGTGACCATCGGTATTGTGAACATTGGTATTTTGAACATTGGTATTGTGAACAGTGGTATATTAGTGTTAAAGATCTCCCAACCAAAAATAATATTATCATCATAATTTGATTATCACTTCCCAGTGTTATCTTCATATTTTGGAAATTATTATGTTTTAACTTGGCATTTGAATATCATTGATTGTGGCTTGTTATTTTATGGATTTCCCCTTCTTACATTGGTATTCTGTTTTGAAAGAAGACAGTTAGCTTTACATACTAGTACTATTCTATATGTACTAATGTCTCTTTTGCCAGGGGTGCTGCATCTTCAATGGATGCAGGTGATTCATCAGCGGTGCAACTTTGGTCCTCGTTAGCAGTTACTCCCTATTCAGCAGGTTTCGGTGAGCCCTATTCTATTCCGGGCCCGATGTCACTTGATGCTACACTTTGTGTCTTGAGGTATAGCCGGGGCCTTGTTGCCGACACTTCTATACTATTCTTCTATCATATTTAGAGGCTCCGTAGATAGGTTGTGAGTTGTGGTTGATGTTGGGAATTGAACTAGAAATGTTGGTATTTGAAAATCATGTTTTTCAGTAATTCTATAAACTCGTAATATTTTGGAAATTATGAATGAAGCTGTTAATGAGAATGAAAAGGAAGTTGTTAATAAAATCTTTTTAGTATTTGATTAATGGAGTACATCTCCTCTTTATTCATGGATGAGTTTGGGTAGAAGGAAATCTAACAGGCTTGTTCGGCCGGGTTCTCTCGGTTTAGTGCCGGTCGCACTCCCCGAGTTTGGGGCATGACAAATAGCCGAGCTCAGCTGAGGCCAATTGCGCCCGGGCAGTCTCTTTTTTCGAGGCCAAACGCTCCATCTTGCCTTTCCACTCTTCGGCCTCGACCTTGATTACATCCATCTCGGCCCGGAGTTGGTCGATTCGATCAATCTTCTGCTGGACCTGCGGGTTCTTACCATTAGTCATCATGTCTAGCTCATCGTCACTAACTCCAAAGATTTTTTACCTATTCAACCAGGACGACGTGTTCTTTCCGAGCCGCGTTCAACTCAGCTCGAAGGCTCTTAGCCTATTCTTCACGTTGCTCGCTGAGAAGTTTATACGTGTCTCTCTTCTCAGCAAGCTCTTTGACTTAGGCTTCGAGTTGGTTCAGCTCATCAGGAATTATCTATAGTTACCCGGTTCAGTGCCTGTTGTGCTTTGTTAAACAGGCATGGCGTGTCTACCTCATTCATTTTGGCGTGGTCTTCTTCAGTCACTAGGAACCAGAGGTAACTGGCCACCCCTAAGGGGGCGGAAAAAACCCGGGCATCCTTCGGAACGATGATGATAATGGATCGCTTCCGACCAGGATCCGCACTCGGGGCAGGGAACCGGTTGATCAGCCTCGGGCTCGAGTTAGGCCCACCTTCCCCAGAGGATAGACTTTTCCTCGGTACCTCTAAGTCACCTAACCTGGTGACATCCTCTGTGGCGGTGGAATCCACGCTATCAAAAAAGCAGTGGAAGGGGTCGTCCACTCCGTGGGCCTCCTCGCTGGGGCATTCTTTCACCATTTGGGCCTCGTTGTACATGGACTCGGTGATGTCTATCACTCCAAGTGCCTCCTTCGGGGCACTGCTCGCATCCTGGGAAGCCTCAGCCCCAGCCTCATCACCGACCTCCCTAGCTTGAGGCATATCGGCCTCACGGATCTCTGGTTCAATGGCCCCCTTTTCTCCGAGGGGTGACGGCTAGCGGGCCACAAAAATGAAAGGCTATTCTCTCTCACACTCGTCCCTCAGCCGGTAGAGCAAGTCCGAAGTTGGTGCTCGGGAGCTGGTGTTTTCCATTGGCTTGCCCACTAGCCTTCTCCTTGTTTTTTTTTTCTCCGAGCTCGGGGAACTCGGAGCCCTCCTCCTTTTCCTCTCTCTGGCCTGTCCTGGAACAGGGGACTCAACAGGTAAGTCCTCGCCACCGACTGTAGGCCTAAGCTCGACATCCTTAGGCAAGCCTACAAAAAGAAGTAAAGGAAATAAGGGCTTAATGTTAAAAGAAGAAGCCTAACACAACCTACTTGGGGAAGAAGTCTCACCATTGGAACGAGCCTCCTAACGGCCCTTCAAGAGTTTTTGCCACGAGCACTCGGAGTAGGGCATCTGTGAAACAATACCCTCGACCCAAGGAGTGGGTTGGGTCGAGGGACAGCATTTGGGACCCGAGCGACGGCTACACCACTACGAATACCGATAAGGAAAAGAGAAGTAAAAATAAAATCAACATTCGAAAGAAGTTCTACTTACGTGACGTATTCGACTTCTCGGGGAATGGTATGCATTCAGCCGGAATCAAGTCCGAAGTCTTCACTCGGACAAAACGGCCCTGCCATCCTCGATCCCGGTCCTCATCGATACTTGAGAATGGGGCTTTACTGGCCCGACACACGAGCTTTATTAGCCTCCCGGGAAGATTATGGGACTGTATAAGTGGAGTAGATGGCAATGGTGAACGAGAACCCATCGATTTTGTTCACAAAAAATTAGAGGAGGATCACGATCCTCTAGAGTGATGGGTGAATCTGGCCTAGACACACGTTGTACCTCTTGCATAAATCTAAAATGACCGGGTTTACCGGGCTCAATGTAAAGAGATAAGTATAAAAACTTAGATATCCCTCGACATAGGTGGTAATGGCCTCTTCGGGGTCGGGGACCACTATGTATTTATCGGCTCAGTTGCAGTCTTTTCGGACCGTAGGGAGGACCTCTTCGGTAATCAAGCAGATATATCTCAAGACCTCCTTACACCGACCCTGTACGAAGGAAGGCTTTTCAACCTTGAAATTGTCAGTGACCGAGCATCCCCCAGGGATGAACATTTTCAAGGGGGGGTCGGGTACTGGTTCATCAATGGCCACGCTCGGAGCGGTCTCCTCGACCTCAGTAGTGGGCCGCTAAGTAGAAGGAGCTTCTTTCTGGGGAACGATTTTGGAAGTCTTTGCCATTCCTTTAGAAAGTAAAAATGGAGGGAAATCTGGGAAAGATGAAGAAAGAAAGGAAGTTGAAGGATTAGACTTGTTGGCTTGAGAAGAAGATGGGTAAAAATTCTTGCAAAGGACCTCGAGTAACCGGGGTAAGTGCTAAAGAGTATTGAAATCCTGAGGGTATGAGGGTTGAAGGTTTGATGTAAAATAAAAATGAACAGGGGAGGGGGGTATTTATAGTAGTTCAGTGACGTTTCACGTCCAGGGAAGGCCAACCGGCGGCTGACATACATTTAATGCCATTATGACTTGACTGACGAGACGTTTCAGATGTTTTGTTGTTTCTTTCGCGATGTGTCGAAGTAAGAATCAGAAGCTCATGTCGTTTCTCGTCGTTTACTCTCCGAGAAACGAGGGGACTATCTGTATACGGGTGAAATCAAGATCATGGTGCATCCCGGCCTCTGACAAGATAAGTCAGGCTCGAGACATAGTGGCAAGGGACCGAAATCGAGCCAAAGGTCCCACCGAGCCAGAATCCGCGGGCATGACACCTACCCTCGAGAATGTCGAGGTCATAATTCCGGAATCGGTCCTAGCCTCGAACGACTTCGAAGAACATTGTCGAACAATCAATCATAGCCAACAGAAGGCCGAAATATCCGTGACCGGCCGGATATCACGGTGAGGATCTCGGCATGTATCAATAAGGAACCGACATTCAGTTAATCAGAAGATTTTTTTACCTTTTATAGAGTTGTATCTAAAGTATGACTCCCTTACTATATAAAGGGGGTCTGATAATTCATGAAGCACATTGTAACACGCACTCAAAAGTAATATATTATTATTTTCTTTGTCACTAACACTTACTCTTTTTCATTGGTGCCGGCGGTGGTGAGCCCGAATCGAGGGTGAATATTTCACTAAGGCTGGAACTATCTTCCTCCTGTGTTTGAATCTATTTTGTCTTTGTTTGTTCAATAGTTACTTAATTTATCGCTTAGTATCAAGTTAATCCGTGTATCCTTAAAACCACTTACAAATTTAATTGTTATCCGATTTTAAGGGTAAACAANATAAGTAAGAAGAGTTTTTCTTCACCTTTACTAGTTCTTGAGAACTATAAGAATACATTTGTATATATAACTCTTACTGTTTCGTAAAACTACTTAATAAAGGATCGAATTAGGATGAAATGAAATCCAATATAACTAAAAAATCTAGTATTAAGATCAATCGAAGTGCACTTATTGAACTTCAATCGTGCAATTTAAAAGATTTTAATATTCACCCAACCCCGACCATCCCCACCACTCTACTGCCTCAATTTTACACCATAATATTTGCCTAATTATATATGAATATTTTTTAAAATAATATCTTTCATTCACTTATCAAACGTTAAAAATAAATAAAATCTACTTATTTAAAAATTGCGAAAACTTTTTGCTTCATACTATCAAACACCCAAATAAACAAAAATGGTGGCAAGTTTATATAGTATATATATAAAACAAGAAAAGGGAGAAAAGGAAAAACGTTTCCGGTTTGGGAGAAAGAGCCGTGGAGCTATTTGAATCACAATACTTTACGTAAAGAAATTTTTCACTTTCCCCTCTGAGTCTGAGAACGCCGAAACCGAAACACAAAATAGCCTTCTTGGCTCCTGTGCGGCTAACTAACCCCTTCCCCAAGTTTTCCCTCTCTCTCATTTATCAAGTACTGAGTACTACTTTTCTTCATTTTGGGGTAGTATATACAGTTAGGTCACATTTTCCCCCCACGGGATAAATAACGTATAATTAAACCTCACTTCTCAGGTGTTTTGGTCGATCTTTTGCCTATGGCGGCTGTTGTTCCTTCCTCAGATCGTATCCTTTTCTTTCTCTCTTTCTCTTAATTCATTTCTTTTAATTGTTTTCTCATCTGGGGTTTGCTTAAATTGTAAGTATTTATTTTTATTACGCTTCCGTTCTCTCTCTCTCTCTCTCTCTCTCTCTCTTTAATACTGGTTTTGTGTGGTTTTTACTAGGGTTTATGCTCCCTGTTTGACTACCGAATATGTATCGTTTCTATAATTTCTTACTTTATCTTTTCTTTCTGTTTCTTAATTTCATGGCTGTTTGGGGAGTGCTGAAATTAAAAAAGAAAAATTGATACTTATGGAATTAATTGCGCAATTGTTGTTTTATTAGTGCAATGATATGCTTGAAGAACCATCCTCTGCCCTGCTTGTGGGTTGTTATTGGGTCAATTTTAATTTTTCTAAAAGAACTTTAGTTGGATTTTTGGAATGGCATGATTCGGAGTAAGCAGACATAGAATCTTCAAAGTATTTTGAAATAAAATTTACATACTTAGAAAAACTATGTCAAAATATTATTAGGTCACATAGTTAACTTTCAAACTATTTAAATAGTAATTGAGATAAAGGTTGTGGTCAAAGAAAAACTCCTTTGACCCTCCAAACAGGTACTGTCACATAGAGTGGAACAGAAGGGGTATATATTAATGACGTTTGACATGCTTGTGGAATATATCTAGTATGTAAGTTATGTATCAGACGAATTTATGGCATCAAAACTCTTAATGGATGAGCTGTTTAAATAAGATGTCCGGCCGACCCTGGGTTTATGGAATGTTTTTTTGTCTCCTTAATTCACATTGCTTAAGAAACAGCAGATTTGCTACAGGACTTGCATTTGGATTCCGAGAATAAGTCCCTTCAAGCTCGTGACTCAACAAAGCAGGTACTGGTTGTTGCGTTAGATCTTGAGATTAATTTTGACTTTCCAATGCATGCCACTAGATGAAAATTTTGGCATCTTTGCTGTATTTTTTCATTAAAGTTTGACAACAAAGGATGTCTTGGTTGAGTTGAAAATTAATTCCCTTTACTGTCAATCCCTCTTTCTTGATAAAAAGGTTTCATCTGTTCAATATGCACCTGTTGAACCTGGCACCATGGCGAATGGAATGAACAAGCCTTTTGAGAGATCAACAAGCCCCTTTAATCAGGATTTCACAGGGCCAAGCATGTTTTACAGCCCAAACGGATACACATCTCCAACATACCCTTCTTCAACATACTATTATGGAGGTAACAAACACCAGACAGTATAGAGAGTGTTGTTTATCAATTGATAAAAAACTTAACAGCATGTTGTGTTGCCCATTATTTTGATTCATCATTGGACATTCAGCTAAATTACATGATATAAAGTTGTTAGGATGGATAAGCTGCTAGGCAATTCTGAATTATCTAGGTAGCATTAGGAATGAAGGTCAGGAAGGTCTTTTATTTGGTCAGTTGCCTAGTGTACCTTTTGATGGTATATTTTTCATTCTATCAATAAAGTTTTTGTCTGTTCATCCCCCTGTGATATGGTCTTAATACAGGTTATGATGGATCATCAGGCAATGAGTGGGATGGATTTGCAAGCGCCGATGGAGTTGAAATGCCTCAAGTAAGTTTTTATTTTTTTTAAAATAGTTATGTTTCCTTTATTATTTGTTTATTTTCCATCTATAGAATTTTGCCTTGAAATTGATTCCTAGAATTTCCTTGTGATTTGTGATCTTTTAACCAAGAAGAGTTGGTACTGTGATCTGTGACTTGTCCTGATGACATATCTCCCCATCCCCTTTATCCTTCTCTTCTCTATAACTGGAAGATGTTTGACCTCGTGTTGTTTGTTATTATTCTTGTGATCTTGTTTATTAGTCTATTACTTGAGGATAGCTTTTGATTCTCTCCGGTCCTGGTGGCTGATAACAGGGCATGTTCGGTGACTATCAACATGGGTATGGTTATGCACCATATGGGACATACTCCCCATCGGGTTCGCATGTTGGACATGATAGGCAGCTCTATGGCCCTCAGCAATACCAATACCCATCGTCTTATTTTCAGTCCGCTTCTTCGACCAGTGGATCTTACCCTTCAAACCAAGGTAACACTTCCCAGACAGCGGTTTCACCTTCTGTTGCACCTGACCAAGTGCGATTTCCAGCTGAATCAACCGAAGCAAATCAGAGTCGTGTAGGGAGTACCGTGACTCATCGAACCAATACGTCAAAGTCTGTAAGACCAACTTACCAGAATTCTTCTGCGAAATCCTCTGATTCCTATGGTTGGGGAGGCATGCCATCAGGTATCCCTTTTCTCGGATTATAAGGAAGAGATTTGGTTCAAGGAATTAGTTTGTTAGATATATCCTTGAAGCTTCTATGTTTTTTATCATCACAAATCTGTTGATGCAGTAAGTCCTTGGGTCTCTTCAGCAGTTCCTCGTGGGAGCAATTTCTCTTCTGGAGGTACTCAAAATCTGCGTCCTCTTCCACATTCAGTGGTAGGTATTTCTTAAGGTGCTTGTCATTTGCACCGCTTGATTGCTGTGTGTCCTTGATATTCAGTACTTCTTATTCATCTTTTTCCTACCTGTTTTATGGTGGCTAAACATGCTGCTCTCCCGAATTTTCAACTTGTGGATCTGCTTCCCTTTCCTTTTTTTTTGGGCATTATTAACTGGATTTAATTTACCAATGGTGTTTATGATTTGGAAATGGAGCATTCAGTAGACCTGGATACATCCTTCTCTTCGCCTTATTCTATCCTTTTATGCAACAGGGTATGCAGCATCCAAGAGCGTCATCTGCAATGGGAGGATATATGAATCAGATGTATCCTAACAATCGGATGTATGGCCAATACGGAAACGCGTTTAGAAGTGGTTTAGGATTTTCACCTAGTATTTATGATCTTAGGACTGGTGGTCGTGATTGGTTGGTTGCTGATCACAAGTATAGACCTCGTGGCCGTGGTAATGGGTTATCTGCCAACAGCAATGAAAGCGCTGATGGGTTGAATGAATTGAACAGAGGACCCCGGGGAAAGGGTTTCAAGGACCAGAAGGATTCTGAACCTATATCCTTAGCAGTTAAGGGGCAGAGTCTTCCACTAAAAGGCAACTGTGATGAGGATAATCTACCCCTTTTCCCAGATAGGGAGCAGTACAACAGAGATGATTTCCCTGAAACATACACAGATGCAAAGTTCTTTGTCATTAAATCATACAGCGAGGATGATATTCACAAAAGCATTAAATACGGTGTATGGGCAAGCACACCCAACGGTAACAAGAAACTGGATGCAGCTTACAGAGAAGCTGAGGAGAAGTCTGGGGGATGTCCTGTTTTTCTGCTGTTTTCTGTAAGTATCATCTTTGCACCTTTGCAAATAGGCAAGTCCATCTAGTGGCAACCTTTGGGAGTATTAGTTAATTTCCTTTGTGGTGTTTTACAGGTCAATGCAAGTGGGCAGTTTGTTGGTCTTGCAGAGATGATTGGTCCAGTTGACTTTGATAAAACTGTTGAGTATTGGCAGCAGGACAAGTGGAATGGTTGCTTTCCAGTGAAGTGGCATATTGTGAAAGATGTTCCTAATATCATTTTGAGGCACATTACATTGGAAAACAATGAAAATAAACCTGTAACCAACAGCAGAGATACTCAGGAGGTGTGTGATAGTCCCTTGCGCTACAAATTTCTAATCTATGCTTCTCTGGCTGAATTTTTGATATCTTCCGATGCTGCAGGTAAAATCTGAGCTGGGTCTTCAAATACTTCAAATATTCAAGACACATTCCAGCAAGACATGCATTCTAGATGACTTTGATTTCTATGAGGGGCGTCAGAAGATAATGCAAGAGAAGAAAGCTAAACAGCGTCAACTGAATAAACAGGTATATTGATCTTTTTCTTTACACTTGATTCATCTTCTTTTGTTGTTCGTTTTATTTGTTGCATAGTTGCTTGATTCAACGATTGGTAAGAGATAAAAATGCATTAAGCTGCTAAGAGGGTGCTTGAACATTCTTTTTGAAATGCTTCTGGAAAGGCTTTCCAGATTTATGGGACACTTTGGGAAACTAATTGTGTTTGGATAGCTTCTATCTCAGTTAAGTTGGTTGTTTTCACCTAAAAACAGCTCTTGGCTTTAAAGAAAATCTGTCCCAACACTGGCCTATACTTGCTTGGTGTTTGATGAGAGGATATAGAGTTGGGATTTTGTTCCGCATAATTGGTTGGAGGGACAAAAAGAGGATTTGATTGCTTGCAACAAAAATTTCCCAATTTAACTTTCCACGATTCATTCCCTGCAAACCTTACCATTTGTCCTTTTTCCATTTTCTTTTTAATTTGAAGATTTGTCCTAAGCCTTCAAATTAACCCACATTATCTTTACTGATGGAGCCGTCCTTACCTTGTCACTTAATTGTCCCGAGACTAGTCAAATTATTTATAGTCTTGTTGTTTAGTATCTGCAAATCTTGTCCAGAGGACCAAACCAGACCTGATTGTGCTGATTATAGTTTGTAAATAGTTTTGGGTTGGCAACACAACAGCTGTTTTCTGTTGGATCTAAAATAGAGTTGTAAACATTACCTTAACCTTATCTTTAAAAAAAAAATATAGTTGTGACCGATTTTCCATAAAAGTTCCATGGTGCATAGTTAACCAATCCAATAACCACAATATTAAATGGTAATATTTCACCAACTTATTTAAAAAGATAATATTTCTCCAACCCTTATACAAACGCACATACATTTCCAATCCCAATACTTACAGGTATGTAAAGTTTAACATAGATAGGAACTGTGGTGAAATGACGATTGCTCATCAGAAAACAATAAGTTGAAACACTTCCAGGGTCCAGTGGATAGGGTGTGTGTGTTTGATGAATTGCATGATTTCAGGAGATTCTACTTTAAGATGAAGAGAGAGAAGGAGGGTGATTGAGTGGCCGGGAAGCTGGGAACTTGCTAGAGGGAGCATGGGGATTTTTACGTAGTTGCTTTGGTCTGGAGTTACATGAATGCCCATTTAAAATATATTTGAATCTCTGATATTTGTTTAAACTTGCCAAATTTGTAATATGTCCATGTAAAATCAGAAAATTTGTTATATAAATAAATACTGTCTCTCTCTCTCTCTCTCTCTCTCTCTCTCTCTCTCTCTCTCTCTCTCTCTATATATATATATATATATATATATATATATATATATATATATATATTGAGATAAAGTTCTGAATGAATGGTGGGACGACAAGAGCTTGCTGGAGGGAGGACGGCGCTATAAACAAGTTGCTTTGTTTTGGATTTATATTAATGCCAGCTTGAAATGTATTTGATTCTCTGGTGTTGGTTTGAAACCACCAAACTCTAGTTATGTCCATGCATATTTTATTCAGAATCCAAGTTACTGAGCTGTGTTATAGATGTAGGTGGACTAGTTGGGATAGTTTGCACTGTGTTGATACCATACCTGACCTTTTTTTATCAGGCAAAAGTCGAATTTCATTACTTTTCATCCGTTGATACAATACCCGACTTTTTTTGACAAGCCAGTGCTGTTGATCCAAGGGGGACAACCCCTGGGATTCAAGAACTATACGAGTACTATGCAAGAAGTTTAGTTTCCATCTAATCATTTATATAGATTGTAAATCCTATTTGCTCCAAAATTACACCAAAAAAATTGCAAACCATCTCAATATCAGTGAAAGCAGTATATACCACACCTAATGATCCTGCTTGTTCTGTCCCGTCACCCAATTTTTGAGCATGTTCACCATCAAATCCCATGTCATGCGGTGTGACCAAGTGTCCCACTTATTCCTAGTACTAGTATGATACACATTGCACCAGCCAATGTCAATTTGTCTTTGCTCTTGGGATTTTAACGGTTAAGAGTTCCATGCAGCTGGCCAAACAAAAAAAGGAAGTGGAGAAGCCACTTTATTTTGCACTCAGTGGTCCAGATTGCTTTACCTTGTTGTCCTTTTCAACAAAATCTTGTAAAAGGATCTTATTGTGAATATACCATTATAGCCCTCCTGTCCCATCCATATCCCTGCACCATCGGCAGTTGATTGACAGACGTAGAGCTGTCGTAAATCCCCGACCTCCCCTGCCAAGCAGTACGCTGCTTCAATTCTTGGTCCGAGAAATTGTGCCTACTCCATTTTGATGCATTACACCAATGTAAAAGTTGCAAATATTCTTTTATTTAGGTAATTACTGCATGTCATTTCTTCGACACTCGGTTAATTTTGGGTTAGTGATTGTGTCTGATATTTCAGGTTGGAAATGTCAATCAATCTGCTGCTTCGACCCAAATAACTGAGCAAGATAGGCCAATAGATAAAGAATGGTCAAAAATACCTGCTTCATCTGGGGGTTCCACTGGTCTACCCAGATCTGAAGATGGGGAACTGAAGCCATCTGAAGAAATAAGATCAACCACAGCTGCCAAAGATCAACCAAATGCTAAAGACAATGAAGTCTTATTGAATGGAACGGGAAGTGCTTGCTGAGTGTTTTCTTTTACTTTTCTCTTTTTCTCTCTTCGTGGGCTCGTTCGTTAACTTGGGTTTATGCGAAGCTTTTTACCGGATCCAATTAGCATAGCAGAAGGTTTTGTTTTTTGTCACATGCAATATGTTTTCTTTTACTAGGATGGTAATAAAACAAGTAGCTCAAAACTTTCTTTATTGGCAGCTAGAAGCTTGGACTCCTTTGAGAATTGCAATTACTTAGTGGACTTCATATCTTCTTGATCTTTTATTTGGTTTTTTAGTTTTTGGCTTAGACTCAGCTTTTATTAAACGATCTTGTATTTCCCTCTTTTTTTGTTAAATTTGTTGAGGTTTTGTTCATGTGTTCTTGTTATTATGAGTGAGTCAAGGTTTTTTTATTGATTAGCAACTATGGATACGCATTCATGAATGTATAACATGTGAGTTTTGTTAACTGGGCATGTTTAGGTAATATCGACATCAATAAGAAAAGCTCTTGACAGACAAGCATTTTATTAACCAACATAGGGATGGGAAATCCTTTTGACATTTTGTCAATCAGTTATAACCACCCATCCATCTCAATCTAATAGAGGTTAATTATATTATATGAATCATCTATGACAGTTGCTCCATTGAGTCATTTCTATACTAAATTTTGTTTAAGAAAACCACTTGAAACTTCAAAATCTGTCAACCATTTGGTTAGATAACATTTGAAGTTAATTGAGTTATGATTACCCTATTACTAAAATTTTGTCAGCGGTGTTTAATCTACACAAAATGCCCATTCGGACCAAACTAATTACTTACTCAAAATTTTTTACATAATACACTCACGGTCCAAAATATTTACCCCGGCTTTCTACGGACATTGCCATTTTCGCATTAAATACTCTTTGTCTCTTTGTATTTTCTCTCTCCTATTTTTTCCTATTTATCCTAACTTTTCCCTGCCATTCCCTTTCTCCCATTGATTACTCTCTCCTTTCTCCCATTAATTACTTTATATCTTTGTATTTTTCTTCTCCTATTTTTTCTACATTGCACGTTATTCATCTTTTTAACGTATGTGCTTTTGTTTGAAAGCTTCAAGAGCTTCTTTGTATTTTTTCCCCTGCATTCATAGATTAAGATACCCCGATCCAAAACGTCTCATTAATGAACTCCATGGATAAGTTAACTCTTTAATCACATACCGAGGTGGTTCCAAGATATAAATTTAATGGGTTCAGCTTTTAAGGTTTTAGCATTGAACTTATTATACTGTTAAAATTATGGGTTCAAATCTAATACTTGTTGAGATTTTAATAGGTTTTTACATATAAATCTATACTCTGTGTCGGAAATTATGAGTTCAGTTGAACTCGTATCCGAAACGCTACATCTGCTCCTAACCACATACTGCGATTAACTAACTTTGAGGATTATTGTTACTAGGACTTATTATATGATACACAATCTAATGACAAAGAAAAAACGAAATAAAATATTTTTTAAAAAAAAAGAGCTAACAAAATGATATATTGTAATAATATGCAATATTTCAGATGAAACTTGAATAAAAACGCATTTACCCAACACTATACCGCTACGGTATTGTTGCCCCCAAACGCACACACAAGTATACGTGGTCGACAAGTAATATAGGATTATAAGTCCAGATATCGTACCCACAGGGACTTGTGATTAATTATCAACTAAAATAAACCAAACAATTAATCTATTCAAGTGAATCGTAAAGCATGAATATTTAACTAAAATTTATCTAGAATAGTAAACTATGAAATTAAAGGAAACAAGTCTGCAATCTTAGAGAAGAGTTCAATGGGAGAAAATATTCTAGAGCTATGGGTTAGCTAACAATCCCGTTGAGTTTTTCACTTAAATCGTCTAATTAATTTATCTGGTTTATTGGTTGACAGGGTTAATATTGCTCGTAACCTTCTCCCGAAGTACTACTCGCTTATTCAAGCTAATCTAATGCCTATATTCCTATGGAATTAGAATTAACAAGAACGCATTAATAATTCCTGTATAGTAACCAAGCAAGGCGATTAGGTATATTCCTATCCTAACCGCAAATCCGCCCTCCCTNCCTATCCTAACCGCAAATCCGCCCCCCACTCAGAGTTAAGATCTTGCTCTACTCAATCTTATATGCAATCTAGAATTTCCTCTCCCGAGTTCAATCCTAGATTCGTAGATAGTATTCAATTGATTATCAAGCAATCAAATAGTTAAGCGCAAGATTGAATAAATAAACCAATATGATAAAATAATAAGAACAATTCAAGCTTCAAACTGCAACGTTCATGTATCACCCAAAACTCTAGAACTAATAAATTATGAGATTAAAGGAAGAGAAGAGAAGAAAAACTAGTTAGAAGCCTCCTCGAAGCGTGGTCGTGTTCCCTCGTGTGAATTCTCCTACAAAGTATGTTAGTTATCCTCCAAAATAGGTTTATAACTCCTTTTATACGAGTTGGTGGGGNCCTAGCGCTGGCCCTGGCTGTTTCACGCCAATTCCTTCAAATTTTGCTTTGCTTTGCTTCTCTTCTTTTCTCTTGTCTTCCACCTGGGGGGACAAAACCCAAAGGGTGTCCCCTCTTTTTTTATTCTTTTAATTTTCTTTCTTTTTCTTCTATATTTTATTTAATTTTGCTCCAAATCTCTTCATCTTCACACTGCTTTATTCCTACACAGTTAAAATATAATATTAAGTACAAAGTAATATGATTAACACTCAAAAGACGATTAAAAGTAATAGAATGTGAGGCAACAATAATTAAATATATACATTTTTGGCCTAATATCAGGTATCACATTATATTGTAAGAGTATATAGTTATACTATAACAATATACTGTAATAGTATACATATATACCGAAACGGTATACTAATAATAATATGCAGCTTTTTGGCAAAAAATTAAACTAAAACACAGTTGTCCAATAATATACCGCTATTGTATCACAATATACTGTAAGAGTATATAGATATACTTCAATGGTATACTATAATAGTATACATATATACCGAAATATTAATGGGTAGGGTCGTGTAATTATTTTGTATGGATAGAATCGGGGTAATTATTTTGATTTCTACGGGTAACCCGTATATATCCAATATGGTCTAACGCCTTATTGGTCCAATGTACCAATGACCAGTCATCTTAAACAAGTTGCAAACTATCCGAAATCAACTACTATGTTTCCTGAAATTAAGTAAACATAACTATTTATGATGGTAGCCATTGTCATACTAGCAAGACATGACAGTTCCGGCACTCTATATCCAAACACTTGTACAAGAAAACGAAAAAAGAAAGGTGTAAAAATGACAGTACCGCTTGACCTTAAGTTAAAGGAAGTCAATAGTATAACTTTTCAATTAGGGAGATTAATTGTATTTGCGAGTAGTAGATGTGCTATTAAATCATGGGTAAAGTTGCATAGCGGGGACCTAGTTGCATCGTTTCTTCAATTTTCTTGTTTTCTTTTAACTTTTTGGTGAAATTTCAACCATGTACTTTAGTGATACAAGATGGAGAGGCAACCAATAGCGACCTTCAAATTATGGTTCTATGCATTTTCTAGTGGCAATTTAGTAGAATTGAACTTTCGCTAGGAAAAAGAGAAATAGAAAATCCCTCCAATTCACATTCATACAGCTTATGCTGTGTACAAAGCTTTGTCAAACACCATTATACAAAATTAAACCAGGGAATACATTTTACTTGGTGGAAACTCTTTGGTTATTTGCAATATGATCTATTTTAGGAAGTTTTTGTGAATCTATAAAGGTACAATTTTCACGTTGCATAGAATTTAGAAACTGTTATACGGAAGTTTTGGAAAGTCACTATATAAGATCATTTGAAAGTATCGTGTATTTTTTAATAAGTCGAATGAACAATTTCTTAATAAAACATAACAGGGGTAGGAAAATGTCTTATTTGGGCTTAGTGGTCGCTGTAGCAGAATGTGCCAAAGTAAGTTTTTGGAGAAAGAAAGGAGGAGGTGGAGATAGGCCTTAGCCACTATGCACTCACTGGTCTCTGTGTTTGTGGAAGCTAAGCACCCATAAACTCTCAGACAAGACAAGACAGACTTGTTCTTTCTTTCTTTCTTTCTCTTGTTGGTGGTTAAGAATGGCTGCAGCTCTTTTATCTCTTTCTCTACCTAAGCTCAATGTAACTAAAGCTTCAACTGCAGCCAACACCACAACTACAGAAAGTCTTGAACAGAAATTCGGTCGTAAAGGCATCAAATTTTGTGAGTCTGAAGGGACAGTTGAGCTGAGTGTTAGAAATGGAAGCTCAGTGAAGCTACAGATACCCAATGCCCATATCACTTCTTACAAGCCTAAAGTTTATTGGAAAGATGATGGTTTTGAGGAAGTCCTTTATACCCTTCCTCCTCCTCCTTCCTCTTTTTATTCTAATTCTAGAGGTGGCATTGCTCTGGTAATCAATGAAATCTTGGAGCCTAAATTGTCAACAACAGCAGCCAAAGCTTCTTCTGAGTGGACTGTCACAGATGTTGATTCTGACTCTATTGATGCTCTCCAGGTCAGTTACTACTCAGTTTTCACTACTCTTTCATCTTTCTTCAATGCTTGACTGAATGATCATCAAAATCACTTAAATGTCCATCATTGCAATATATGTTAGTAGGATAAGCACCATGGTATCAATTTAACTTTTAACCACCAGTGCTTTAGGCATATTCGGCGCTTGAATTTGGAAAAGGCAAACCAAATCTTGCCAGTAGCTCTTCGTGGAGGCTGAAATGTTGTGTTCAGAAAGTAGCTTTCCCTTTCACAAAGAAATACTATCTTTCTTGTTTAAATGCTATTTTTCTTGATTTCTCAAAAAGGGGATGCTGTATAGAAGCCCCGATCAGAAGGTGCGAGAGGTTAGCCTCAGTAGGTATCAGGAGGGTAGAGGTAGGTCTAAGAAGTCTTCGGGCGAGGTTATTAGGAGGGACATGGCGCAGCTGGAGTTGACTGAGGTCATGGCCCTAGATAAGAGGGTGTGGAGGTCGAGGACTAGGGTAGAAGGCTAGTAGGTAGTCGAGCGTATCTCTTTGTCTTTCCCAGTTCGCTAGCATTAGTGTTAGTATGATATCCTTTTATTCATAGGTTGCTATTATTACCTAGAGTTCAACTGCTTTCTTGGCTTCAATATTTTTATCTTTCTGTTATTCCTTCTTGTTGCCATTACTTTTGTCATCCGTTCTCCAGCCGAGCGTCTATCGGAAACAGTCTTTCTGTCCTTCTAGGATAGGGGTAAGGCTGTGTACATCTCACCCAACTGTGCTTGTTGTTGTTGTTGTTGTTGTTCTCAAAAAGG